TTTTGTGACGATGACAAAAAGGAGCAAAAGTATAACTGAATACTTTCCATATCCCAGTCAGTTGCGAAGTTGCCTCTCATTCATACAAAATAAACCACCATGTCCCAGACTTTAACCAAAAGGTGGCAGCTTTCCATCCACTTATTCTTTGCCTAAGAAAGACCACACTAACTTTTAAAAGATCTGATCCAGTAACAAAAGAAAAAAAAATGCCAGATGTGTAATAAATATATTACTAGATCATAAAATCTATTTCCCTAAAGAAAATGAGGTATGTCCCATGGAGAAGGTGCATCAGATTCTGAATTAATACCATCCTTACCAAAAATGCAAAAAAACAGAAAGGCAAACAGTAACATAAAGATTGCATAGTTTTTAGCTATAAATATGCACTCCGTAAATACATATCAGCTACAATCTTCTCTCTCAGAACATTGTTTAGCTCCCTTAACAGATGTCTAAAACAAGTACAACCTTTCATAGTACCTACTATTTGGAATATAAAAATCAGTGTCAGAAAAAAACAAGCACTGCATACAGGCAAGTGTCATGTTTTTTAATAGACCAATGATTTAGAAGTAATAATGTGAGATGAAACTTTAACTGGTCTCATCTTTCATAGATGCCCTTTAAGGGGAACATCTTGACATTTCCTAGCCCTTCCAATTTTGCTGTCTTCCACAGTGTTGCTTATTGGGGAGTTACTATGCACAGAGCTCATATAGGTTTCCTGCATCTTCCAATTTCAACATGCGTGATATAGCAGGGACCCCTGAGATCCCAGAAGCAGTTTTCCACCATGTCCTCAAGTATAGGTCAATATGTCAGAAAAAGCCCATCTTTTCTCTTGTTGAATGATGTCATAAAATGAAGATGTATTTGTCAACGAGAGGGGTAAACAGTGGATTACGAATCAAATGTAAGTCATCATAAATTGCAGTATCACTTGGCAGAAAGGCAGGAAAAAAACTTAATCTTTGAGAAGCTTAGAAAGGGATTACATTGGCACAGGTGCTTGTCAGGCACAATTGGCACAATTAGTGCTTTTATGTCACTCAGTCCTGCAATGGGGACACCTGTTGAAGGGATCTATATTGTGGATTCTGTTAGATAAAATATATCTACTAATTAAGGTAACATCAATTTGTTTGCTGCTTCCAGACCTTATTCTTTGTTACTACATAAATCTAATTTGATTGAAAGTAGGCAGGGAGAAAAAAACAATACTAATGCTGCTGCGGATTCAGTAAACCCTGTGAAGAGGATAAGGAAATAAAGATTATGAATTTTCCTAGAACACATACTTAATGCTTATTTACCTGAAGTATCCACTAGGGTTTTTTTTTTTTTTTTTTTAAAAAAAAAAGAATGCTGTATCACAGAAGCAAATTAATATTAAGTGCTAAGAGGGATCATTAATTTTTAAGATTACTGCAAATTTAAGTATGTCTAATAAAACATACCACAGTTTCTAAAGGCAAACTTACCCTTTTAAAGTGCCCTTTCTAAAGGACATTTTAATATCACTCCTAAAATTGTGGTAATCTGTTAATTATCCTATTCTGGAATTCAGTTGGGTACTCAGATCTTCTTCCATTCATCTAACGTAATATTTACATTGGGCCATGGAAGGGCATACCCAAATTTATTCCAAATCTGTGTTTGAGTTCAGTAGAGTCCATTGGGTAAAATGCATTATCAGCATTGAAGTACTCTTCTTTATGGGCATAATTATTGGCAAGGTTCATTTGGTTAGGAAAAAAAATAGAAAAGAATTGGCAGTTACATTGAGAATTCCTTTGGAATAAAAATAAATAGTTCTTATCTCAGCACTGCTTGACAACCACAAAGCAGATTCTGTTATCTTTTCAAAGATTTGTGTGTTTGTGATGCTAATAGCTACATACCCTACTAACAGAGTAGTTTTCTATAAAGGTTTATTTATCAGACCACTGAGCTAGAAAATAATCAGACATAATAAACTTTAAAATGAAGAATTGCAAAGACATTCTTTGAGCCAATACTGTGTATTAGCTCAAAAAGAGACTGAATTAATTTAAACATACATTTAATAGTGTATACTCTGACTTGCACAGATTTTCTTCATATGGTGTTGTCCTCAAAGCCATCTGCTTTACTAAACAACTTCTATCACCAGTAAATACACAGCATACCTCTTTGTGGCCTATGGTGAAAGTTTTATTAGCTGTTATGCTGTTATTTTGTCCTCGTGTTTTTCTTGATTTATTTCAATTAGTATTCTCTTATTTGTAGAAACTTGCTTCCAGGCAAAATGTATCTTCTAGAGAAAATAACATGCACGGTCAATATATTTCTTTGGCTTTTCTGTAACTAGAAATAATGACAAACAGGAAATTTGCAATATATGGGATAATAAAGGGAAAGATCTTCCAAAGCCCAAAGGGAAGGTTAGTCTCCCTGGCTCACTAAAAGCTTAGTTTGATATATTATTTCTAAAATTTCAGATTCCAGTTCTGCAAAACCATATGTAACTCAGCCCCCTTTAGGTAGATCAAATAAAAGATAGTTCCTGTAAGCTGTTCACACGAGTAGCATGAGAAGAATATGAAATAACAGAAGTAAATTCATAGAAATATTCTCCCTAATGACTCATCAATTTATCCTTACACATTTACAGGGTGAACCTGGAGAAGCTGGTAACCCTGGACCTCCTGGAGAATCTGGAACATCTGTGAGTATTTTGGTTTTGTCTTATTATTAACCTTTATTATAGTGAACTTATGTATCTGCTGTGCTTACTTTAGAAAGCATTTAATCAGGTTATTTGAGCACTCGTGTACAATTTCTTTAATTTTTCAGAGAACTTATACCTTTAAAATAAATTTGTTTCTTTATAATTATAGCCACATCTTGTAGTAACAGCTACAGGACAAAACTGAAGACTCCCTAAGAGAGCACCTATTTTTCTTTCCAAAAGTTTTGACATGCATGTTTTTCTCTCTTGATGCAAAATGGGTGCAGATGTTGGCATTCAACCTGAGATTCACAGGTTTTCCAGTCTGAAACTGAGGTACTAATTTCCTATTCATATGCCAGCATTTCTTGACAAGTAACATTGCCCAGGCCTGAAAAACTGTTTTGCCATTATAATTTTTTCTTAGCCATTCAATTTCCAGATGAAATTTTTGTGTTTATATGTTTTCTACAGGGTCCAAAAGGTGAAAGGGGAGAAAAAGGTGAGGCTGGTCCACCTGGAGCAGCTGGACCACCAGGTGCTAAAGGACCTCCAGGTGATGATGGGCCTAAGGGTAACCCAGTAAGTGAGCTTAACAATTTTAATACAAAGCACTGTGAAGCACTTCTGAAGTTGTACTACATCTAGAACTGTATATAATTTTCTACATTTGAACTAAGTTCATTATATGCTTCATAAAATATTTGTGATGATTGCTACCTGCTTGCTAATGGATAACACGTTCCTTGGGGTTTTTTCCTGATTTATCTAGGGCCCAGTTGGTTTTCCTGGAGATCCTGGTCCCCCTGGAGAACCTGGTCCGGCTGTAAGTATACTTAAAAAACAGTTTTAGACCTAGTCGTGGTTTGCACTAAATTCTAGTTAACCCTGGCTCCTCCTTGTCCAGAGATGAGGTCTTTCCTGTAAGATCTGTTACATTTCTGTTCATGCATTTCTTAAGGCTTAAAAAAGGTTTAGAAATCTCTAAAAAGCTGTAAAACGGGTGTTCTTAGAAAAATGCTCTGTAGAACAGTAGTGGTCTTATATTCATATATGAAACCATGTTACTTAATTGAGCTGAAGTCTGTGTTTTATTTTTCTGTGAATTCTGTAGGGTCAGGATGGTGTTGGTGGAGAGAAGGGTGAAGACGGTGATCCTGGTCAACCCGTGAGTTGTTTCTGTCATTTTATTTCAGCTGCATTTATTCTGTCCTATGCTAAGAAAGTATCTTTTCCTGAATCAGTGTTTTCTATACATTAATACTCCTAAAAGTATTTTCTAAATGAATGCTTTTTCTATTATACTGAAAATATATATTTATTTCCTTGCAGAGATAGAACTGCCCATATTATAGTAACAATCAGAAGCAAGAGCTCAATTTCTTTTAGAAGTAGAAACAAATGATGTGTTAAGGATTTGTGCTGGAGCTGCTGAGGAGCACTAAAAATAGAGCAACTCTGAGCAAAAGAAAGGAATGCTGCAGCCAAATAATCTTCATTAGCTGACCTGATGAAATGAAGCAAAACATTGATGTTTCTGCTTTAAGAAAATTAAGAAGAATCAGAGCAATATCTATATTAAGCATCAAAGTCCTTATATTTCTGTAATTCCCATATTAAAACATCATCCATTTTATTATTTTTTTTAATGCAAAAAGATAGGGTTTCCATTTTGGAAAGTCTCTTTCTAGCTCTGGAAGTTCTGATTATCAGGAAGTTATCCTGTACACTACAGTTTGAAAATAAAAAGCGGTAGTACATTGAACATATGGTTGGAAATAAGTTATAAACTGGAGTTTACCTTCAAACTTCAGGAAATTAGTACCTGTCCATCTTACTTAACAGTAAGTACTTTTAGAGTGTTGTGTGCCTGAAGAAAAGCTTATCAAACTGTTCAGCAGCCCTGAAATATTTAAGAGCATCACAGCTTACCAGATGGAGTAGCCAAATGGCTATTGGTGCAAGAAAGCTTTTTCAAGAGAAAGCCACCCACAGGGCAGATAACAGATGTAAGTGAAAAATTTTTGCAAAGGTAACAACTTCAGCACCTGAGAAAGCAAAAAAGCTTCTTAATGGAGTTAGGCAGTAGGTTAAGACCATATGCTATTCTGTGCAGCCCTTTTCTGGTCTAAAATCTTTTGTTACAAACAGGAAGTGAAAAAAAGAATGACTGCATTTTGTGCAGTAACAAAAGCTGTTAAAATTTCAAAAGACCACCCTAAGAAAGGATTTTTTTTTTTTTAATAAGCCGGTATACTTCTCTGTGTTTATCTATGGTACTTACTTCCTGTCCATTGAAAGGGGCTAACATACTGCAGATGTTGGTTGCATGTATATAATTTATTCTCTATTACCACTGAGCTTGTAATTTTCCATTGCAGGGTCCACCAGGTCCTTCAGGTGAAGCTGGCCCACCTGGTCCACCTGGAAAAAGAGTAAGTAATTTCTCATTTTCTCTTGTAAATTTTGTTTCTGAGACACTGTATTCTAGAGAATTTGAGCTACATGTTTTCAGCATTGTAGCACTCATAACTGATGTTTGAAGTTTCTTTCAAGTAATGTAATAGGAGAAATGAAAAAATAGAAAAAGGAGAGAAAACCCTTTAACATAGGTTACATGGAACACAGGAGCAAAAATCCACAGGGAAGAATGCATTCCTCATCTTTAAATGTGTTTTTTTTTTCTTTTCCCCCAAGTGAATTCAAGTGTTTGCTAGGATAAGAATTCGGTGTCTACTGAATTAGTTTGCTAATAGAAGTGAGTGATGATGAGAGTAATACAACACATCATGCTTAGGCACATGAGTGCTGGTAAAGAGCAGGAAGAGTGTGTCCGTTTTAGTATTTTTAGCCTCTGAAATAAAATAATTTAAATGCAGCTTTTGTGCAAACCTATGTCATCCCCTCTGCAAACAAGATTATCAAGTAGACATTTCTGCAACTTTTGAAGGCATTTCATTATCTCTGAAGTCTTTGAACCTTCACATGCTATACAAATGTAGCTAATCAAAACCAGTAAATGATGTTACACTTAGAGAACTGTAGTAGATACATCAACCTTTAGGTCTGCTTCAGAGAGCAATTAAAAGCAGTTTTTACACTAACAAACAAGGGAGGGGCTATCATTAAATGTAAGCTGAGAGCTATTTAACAAAATGTCTTAAATTGCTCTGTTTAATAGGCTTGAGTGAACACTGACATGCTAAATTAGTTTTATCTATTTAGTCCAACTTGCAAAACATTTTATAATATTGTGATTATGGTAGCAATCGCAATCTTATCACTAGCACTGAAATATGGCTCAATTGAATATTAGCAATTAGTATGTTTGTTTGACATCAAATTAGAACTTCCTACTTTATTATACAAAAGACAATAGGCCATTCCTAACAGATTGGATGAATTGCATCTAATTGTATCTAGACAAAAAACACATTAGAAACACAATTATTATGTCACCTGTAGTTTGACACATTTTCAGTTTAGAGAAAATGTATGGCTAAATATTGCCAAGTAATCCCATTCCTGAATTCTGAAGAAAACATTTTGTAGAATCAGATTCTGCATTATTTGAGTACTTGGATCTTTCAAGCTTGTAGAGAGTCTGCATTGTATTGATATTATACCAGAGAGAAACAGTGAAGGATTGAAAGCTTCATACTTTGCTGGCAGAATGAACATACAGCTAATGAAAAATAACGAAGAGCATTTTTTATGATAAAATCAATTTCAACAAAAAGCCATAACAAGTGCCCTTTCATGAGGATTAAGAAGGACGTACCATTTCAGTAGTAATACTGAGGAGGTCTATGGAGGTGCAGCTCTGGCTATACTACTAGAAAGCAACACTCCACCCCTTTTTTTGTTTTTCTGTCTCTGAACTGACAAGCTGGCAGAGCACAGGATTATACTTTTAAATCTAGTCCCTTGAACACTCCAACTGTACACTCTCCTTATTTATTCTGTTAGTCATTTTCATTCCCCTCTTCCCCTGTATTTTGGAACTGACCTGAACTCAGTTTCATTGTCTGGTTTTATGAAATTATGTTTATTAGCAGGTCTCAGAGTTTTAAGCAATCTGTGTCTAGTATTGCTGGTTACAAAGAGGTTGTCCCAGCTTTCTCTGGGAAGAAAATTCTAGTGAAAGACATTGACCTAAATACAGTTTTCTCGTTGTATCTAAGAGACTTCAGCTACAGATACTTACAGTGACATTCAACTATCAAGTGAATGCCAAGAATAAACTATTTTTCCTGGCTATTGAGGGGTAACAGTAATAGGATTACTATTAGTTGGTGAGATAAGCAAGTATAAAACTGTTTTACTGTGGTGCTCTAAAGGTTTTGACATAAGTACCAGTTGCAGACTGAACAAGTATGACAAGCAGTATGGTGAATTTCTTTTAAGAAATACCACTTAGGAAGTACATGTCAGAACAATAACCCTATTCCAGAGTCTTAATCTGTAGAGGTAAAATTGACTAGCTAATGAGCACTTAGCTGAAATCTAAATCAAAACAAAAAGTTAAATCTATGGATGGAACTGAATTGGATCATTAGAGCATCCACAAAATGTGTACCCTAATTAATATATTACTTTTCAGGTCTAACAATTGCTCTTCCAAAAATATTTCCACCACTGCCTTTCAGAAAGGTACATGCACGGATAATTTCAAAAATCAGGATCTGTAAAATATTAATAATTATGTAATGAAAATTAAAAAAAAAAATTATCCAGAATACCTGTAATCACTTTGAGAGACTTTGTCAATGACTATGTCACTAGGTTTGCCCTTATTAATTATGGTTTTGGCCTATAAATATATATATATTTAATCTAGGAATTCATCTGAATATAGGACTTCATTCTGAATGTACTTTCAGTTTTATAAGGGAGAGACCAATGTATCTATGGTATTAGGACTTTCTGAATCTATGTAGTTAAGGTGCAAGTAATCATACTAATTGTGCATGCAAATACAGCATGGATCTATGCACATACTGTTTAGAAAATTAGAGCTATGAAATCTATCAAGAGAAACATATAGCTGAAGTCATTTTTATCTTTAACAAAGGGGAGGCCAGATTCTCTAGCTCAGTGCAAGAGAGGATCAATGCCCAAAACACCAACTTTTAAAGCAAACTTACACTACTTAAAGAAATCTGTTAGAGCTACTTGAAAAAATGATTCCTGATTTAACATAGCATAGATGCTTGCTAGGAAGCAAGCGTCTTCTGTTTCAGTTTGCAGATTTCAGTGCCCATTTAAGCATCTTGCCAAATCAAGGCCTCAGAGGCTAGACACAATGGCTACCACTTCATCAGCTGTCATATTTACTTTATATTTACAAAAATATTCAGCACAGTAGGCTTTTTGGTAGGGGTTGCCCACAGCAGATTGCTGACTCGACTTCTCATCTATGCAGGACTCAACTCTAGCCTTACCAGTTCTGTCTGATTTGAGAGTGGCTGCTCTTCATCGGCACATCTTTCTCTCACTGTGGGCTTTCCATCATCAGATCTCTTGGCAAGTTTTCCATTGATGGAAATCAGCCTAGATTCTCTAGAAAACTTGAGTCATTACATGTACATTCCAAGCTGAACAGACAAATAATCTAGTACAGCTTTGGGACTAGGAACCCCTTTTCGAATCCTTTTCCCATTATACGCATGTTAAACATTTGTAATATTGCTGTCTGAATTTATCTATATGCAAAAAGAGAAGAATGAAACTTGCCAACCTTACAGAAGGATGTGGCTTCTGAAGTGTTCTTAAATGTTCTGAACACAAAAACTTTGTTATAAAGTTAACTTTATTCTTGGAGCTATCTATCTTGGAGCTAACTTGTGAACCAAAGAGTTCACAAATTGCTATGGGCTTCTCAGTGGAAGTTCTCAGCTGCACAAGCTTTCCCGTTGCTCATAACAGCATCAGCATTGACCAACAGCCTACTGTGTGAAGACTGTGATTCTGAAGAGGTGTAATGTTTTCCAGCTTCTCTTTTCAATGCAGGAGATAAATGAGTTGTGATCAATGAGAAGTAGAACATCTCAAAAGGCCTCCTGATCCAATGCCTGCTTATCTAGAAATGTAGATACAAAGACTGACTCACTCTGTAGTTATGTTGTTACTATTTTTTTCTTTTCAAAGAAACGTAATCCTCTGCATGTGCTTTTGGGACTTTTGTTTTGCCGTAGAGTACTGGGTAATATCACTAACTTGAATACATTGATTTCTATCTGACAAATGTTAAAAATAGCATGAGGGAAAGATATCATCAAACAACATTTATTTTTTATTTTTAAAAAGTAACATATGCGATCAATAAAAATCAGCACAGATAGTACTTCTTGCTTATGTTCCCCTTAAACTTTAAGTGTGTTAGGCCCTTCAGTTGTGTTTTCTGCTGTTTGGCTGTTTTCTTTATTAGAGTCAATTAGATGTCCAGATCACATATGCATAAGGCTCTGTATATCAATCTAAAACTTTTAGAATTTAAAATGCAAAACTGGGATATGGTTTTGTTCCAAACTGGAGGGCATATTCTCTGCTTTCAGTAAAAGAACAGATGTCAATATTGCAACAAAGCCAGCCTCTAAATTTTGAGAAGCAAAAGTTTATTTGGTTAGTTGTCTTTATATACAATGTTGAAACACTTAGAAAAAAAGGAAGCATTTCTAGGAAGGAGATTTTTTTTCCATTTTGGCTACGGCATCATGCTGCCTCAGCAGGGTGCACACACCACTTAACGATAAGGCTGATTTTCTTTCTTGATTGAAAATGCACAGAACATCTAAAAATATGCCAGGTTCCTCTCTTAACTGATGAAATGTGGTAATGGTTTTCTGTGTTGGAAATTATGTTTTCCCTCAAATGACAGACAACAATAAACAACACTTTAAATTACATGAATGAAATGATCGAATATGGAAGAGAAGACAAAAATGACCAATCGGTTCACATTACAAAAATTGAGGCCAAGTTTGTTTCTTTATGAGTTCTTTTGTCTTCTCAGTTCTGCATAAAATGTATCCGGCAATAAGTCTAAATTTGAAGTGTAATGATCATAAAAATCACCATGGTAGCTGGGGTTGGGAGGGTTGGGAGCCATACATTAATTTAAAATTATTGTTATTGAGATCTTTTCTGTCAGTTAAAATTTACCAGACACTCTAACAACTCAAGTGTAGGAAGGTAAGATAAATAATAATTAGCAGTCTTTCTTTGTAGAAGCACCATCTGTGCCATGGCAGCAATCACAGCCTGTTAGAAAGAGCAGTTCGTTCAGCTGCTTTGTGGTTGGTGCGGCATTGGCACTGTTTGATAGTGAATGCACACCCTTTGTTTAGCAATCATGATTCATTGTATTTGTAATTTAGCGATCACAGTGTTTTTAGCCCTCTAATTCATG